AAAAAAAAAAAAAAAAAAAGTCAAAACATCATCCAGATGTGGTGGTGCTCATAGTTCCAGCTACTTGGGAAGCTGAAGCGGGAAGATCGATAGATCCCAGGAGGTTGAGGCTATCATGGGCTATGATTGCACCACTGCACTCCAGCCTGGGCGACATAGTAAGACCCCAACACAAAAAAAGAGAGAGAGAAGTGTCTTCCACACCCTGGAGGCTTTGAGTGGAGAGCATGTCTCGCGGCCACTAGGAGACACCATTCAAGGGCAGCATCTCGGTTTTTCTCTGTCCTCAGGCCACTGTCCAGGGAACTCCTTTTCCTGCTGGAACAGCCAGTGTGTGACCAAAGTGAATCCAGAGTGTGACGACAGAGTGGACTGTTCCGATGGGTCTGATGAGGCGCACTGTGGTCAGTCTGCTGTCCAGCTTGGTCTCTGGGCCACGTCCCTGTTGCTGGCTCTGCTCCTTGGACACCATGCACATCACACACAGGCACACGGGCCAGAATTTAAGGGAGCCAGGTGGAGAGGAGGGAGGGTGCCTTGGAATGGGGAGAAGTTGAGCACAAAGCACATCTCCAAAAAAATGCAAAAATTAGTTAGGTGTGGTGGTGCCTGCCTATAGTCTTGGCTACTTTGGAGGCTGAGATGGGAGGACTGCTTGAGGCCAGGAGTCTGAGTCCAGCCTGAGCAATAGAGCCATACCCTAGCTCTAAAATAAATTAGGATAATGAAAATAAAATGCTGTAAGAATAATCACCATTTTTCTAGCGGTGCTAGCCCATGCAATAAGGCAAGAACAGTGGTTTAAGAATTGGAAAGAGGGAGGGAAAACATCCGTAATTCACAGTTGAATAATTGTATCTAAAACGGGTCAATAAATTGACTAGAAAAGCATCAAAAATAAGGTAGTTCAATAATTGAGGAAGAATGAGATAAATATCAATACATTAAAAAGCTGTAGGCTGGACGTGGTGACTCACATCTGTCATCTCAGCACTTTGGGAGACTGAGATGGGAGGACCACTTGATCCCAGAAGCTTGAGACCAGCCTGGGCAACATAGTGAGACACCGCCTCTGCAAAAGATTTTTAAAAATTAGCCAGGTGTCACGGTGCCTGTCATCTCAGCTACTTGGGAGGCTGAGGCAGGAGGATTGCCTGAACCCAGGAGGTCGAGGCTGTGGTGAGCCATGATCATGTCACTGCCCTCCAGCCTAGGACACAGAGTGAGATGAGACACTGACTCAAAAAAACAAACAAAAAAAATCTGTTGTTTTGCTTTATACAGTAATAACAGGCTAGAAGATACAATGGAAAAAATCACAGTCATGATCAATCACAACAATGAAAACTCAAGGACTAAACTTGGAACCATGTGTCACACCTACAACTATAATTACACGTACTAATATAATTATACAACTTTACTGAAGGCATAAAAGTAGGCTTAAAAGCAGAGAAACATAGCACCCTGCACAAGCGTGTGTGCACGGGGTCCACCCTTATCCATAGTCTGTCCCAGACAGAGGCCTCCCTGTGCCATGACTGGTGCGTGTGACCACGAGCATTTGAGCCACATGCCCACATGGCCAGCTCGGGTTGCCAAAGAGGGAGGGAGAAGGGGACACCCTGACTGGAAAGCCCATGGAGGGGGGCAGCCGCACGTCCCCTTGAACTTGGGGGCCGGAGATGAGGGGCTCGGGGACAGATGCTCTGGGGGTCCAGGCCGAGCTCCTGCCTTCTGGGAGTCCTGACCGTGACCTTCCGTCTTGCAGACTGTGGCTGGCAGCCTGCCTGGAGGACAGCGGGCAGGATCGTGGGCGGCGTGGAGACGGCCCCCGGGGAGTTCCCCTGGCAAGTCAGCCTTCGCGAGAACAAGGAGCACTTCTGCGGGGCCACCATCATCGGCCCCAGGTGGCTGGTGTCTGCCGCCCACTGCTTCAACGAGTAAGCACCTGCCTGGGCCACGGTGTCCGTGGGCCTGCGCTCAGAGCCGCGCCCAAGCCCGGCTTTGCCTCCCGCCCACCCAGTCGATCTGAGCTGCCTCCGAGCCCCATGGGACTCTTCCCTCTGTTCCCCCCTCCTTCCTTCCCTCCTTCCTTCTCTCCTTTCTCCTCCCTTTCTTCTTTCTTCCTTCTTTTGGTTGAATCTGAATGCATTTATTTTTGAGTTGGAGTCTCCCTCTGTCACCCAGGCTGGAGGGCAGGGGCACGCTCCCGGCCACCGCCACCTCGACCTGCTGGGCTCTGGTGATCCCTCAGCCTCAGCCTTCCAAGTGGCTGGAACTACAGGCGCGCGCCACCACGCCCGGCTAATTTTTTGATTGCTTGTAGAGACGAGGCCTCGCCAACTTGCCCGGGTGGGTCTCGAACCCATGGGCTCAGGCAATCCACTCGTCTCGGCCTCCCAAAGCGCTGGGATTACAGGCTGAGCCACCGAGCCTAGCAGTTTTTTGTTTTTGTTTTTAATTTTGTAGAGAGGAGGTCTCGCCAAGTTGCCCAGGCCGGTCTCGAACCCACGGGCTCTGGCAATCCGCACGCCTCAGCCTCCCAACGTGCTGGGATGACGGGCTGAGTCACCGAGCCCAGCCTGGCTTATCTGTGTTTGTAGAGACAGTGTCTCGCTATGCTGCCCAGACTGGTGGTAACTTTTTTTTTTGGTAGAGACACGGGTCTCCCTATGTTGCCCAGGCTGGTCTCAAACTCCTGGGCTCAAGCGATCCTCCTGCCTTGGCCTCCCAAAGTGCTGGGATGACAGGCGAGAGCCGCCTGCCTTAAAGTTTGCACCCACGGCGGGGGTCCGCCGTCTCTCCCGCGCCGGCCGCTGAGCTGGGGTCTGCCCTGCAGGTTCCAAGACCCCGCGGAGTGGGTGGCCTACGCGGGCGCGACCTCCCTCAGCGGCTCGGAGGCCAGCACCGTGCGGGCCCGGGTGGCGCAGATCATCCGGCACCCGCGGTACGACCCGGACACGGCCGACTTCGACGTGGCCGCGCTGCAGCTGAGCCGGCCGCTGCCCTTCGGACGGCACATCCAGCCCGTGTGCCTCCCGGCCGCCTCGCACGCCTTCCCGCCCGGCAAGAAGTGTCTGATCTCCGGCTGGGGCTACCTCAGGGAGGACTTCCGTAAGCACCCCACGGCCGCGGGAGAGAGCGGCCACTCACGTCCGGCCCCCATGTTCGCGGGTCTGTGTTTGCGGACCCCACTGCACCAACACGCGTTTGCGCTGCCAACTTCGATGTGCGTGGGCTTTTTGATTTTTTTTTTTTGGAGTTGGAGTCTCACTCTGTCGGCCAGACTGGAGTGCAGTGGCCGC